AAACTGCCTCCAGAAGCTGTGAAAAACTGGAAGTTTTTAAGAAGAGAGTGGACAGCCATTTGTCTGAAATAGTATAGGGTTTCCTGCCTGAGCAGGGGGGTTGGACTAGATGACCCCCCAAGGTCCCTTCCGACTTTAATGATGATGATGATGATGATGATATTGCAATCTGCCTTTTGATGTGTGGGCCTGTGAATTCATTGCCTAACTAATGAACTAATATGACATAGTGTTTTAGTACCTGTAGCTATCTCTCAGTCTAGGCCATAGAATAGTTATGAAGATAAAATTGGGATTCAGGAACCACATTCTGTACCTTCTTGAAACCAAAGATAACAAACCTGAGCAAGTCTAGAGAGAGATTTATAACTTCCATAAAATATATATATATATATATATGTTCATGGAAATGCTTACCAGCAGAGGATTATAAAGAGTGGGTGGTTATATGATATGATTATCAAGTAAAAGAATTGCAGATTAACACATGAAGGGCATCAGGTAGATAGAGAGTCGGGAAATGGATAAATATAGTTTATTTCTTTCACTATTCCATTCCTGACAGGCAGTTTAGGTGCTCCTAAGAAGCACAGATGCACTGGATCAAATAAGCCATAACTCGTGATAGGAAACATAAAATGGAAGCAAAGAATATCCACCAAAATCTGTTCAAAGTAACTCAGGTTTTGCTCATTAATTTAACAAAATTGGCAAGTTGCAATGTACTTTTTAAAAACAGGAATATAGAAAGGTGCTTGAAACAAGCCAGTCTTCCATCATCAGAAGAATTAGCCCCATAATACTATACTCACCAAAAGGATGGCAGCTCTATAAATATTACAAACCTCTGACTATATTAGCTTCCTGATTGAGGTGAACAATAATCAAAAGGGAAGACACAAAGTCTTTCCTTTACACTGACAAACAACAGCTTTCCCAAGGCTAACATAGGAACAGACAAAGTTCAATTAATATTTTGTATGCAAAACAAGTGTTCTGCCAGTGAACTATGGCTCTTTCATCAACACCACTTAGGAGAAACATAGATACCATAATACTGTTATGCCATAACACTTACTTCTTAAATTCCTTGGAGGGGGGAGGAGATGATTCTTATTTATTATAAGTGACAAAGTTGTTGACAAGCTGAATAAACTGTGACATGTCCAACATTGTCTGCACTGGATATTCATTGATAACGATGTCTTGGGGAGAGGGGAAAAAAAATCCCTAAAGCTTACTTCATAAGTACATAGTTTATAAATGCACTCACTACTTCTTTCAGCTATTACCCCTGCCTAATGCTGGGTGTTTTGTCTTCACAATAACAAAAAACAGATTTAGTAACGTATTGAATAAACTGAAATAATTTCCTAGTTAAATTTCACTGATTTCAAAATTTGGATGTAGCTTCAATATAATCTAATCAATCAGAATTCTCAGGGTAGTATATGGCTCCACAGCCTCAATCGCTGCACCTCTAGCACTGGAGATGCAAAAAATGGGAGTGGGATGGGGAACTGTTATATATATCAGTTCATATCCAGATTCTAAAAACGCCCAATACCTATAAGGCTCAAATACTCAAATGCAATGTCATACTTCCTCACTGCAATATTCGGAAGTACTGTTGCATATGTGGCTAAAACACCATCACTCACACACAAGAAGGAGCATCTGGTAGGCACCGGGAGGAAACACTTCAAAGTGTTGGGTAGGTGGGAGAGAAACCCTAAGAAATAGATTATGTCACATATGTCTCTAAAGAATTGGGTGCTCTGATTTGCAGGAGGGAAAACAAGCAACATTGGGAATTAGATGAAAGATCAAATGGAATGGCATATCTTGAACAGAGAAACCCCTGGTGCAATATAATTCCATTTCTAAAATGAGAATCTTAGGAAACTTCAACAAGACTGGATGTGAAGGCAGCCTTCCTCAGTCTGCACCCATCCAGATACGTTGGGCCACAATTTGCATCCTCAGTTTCCTCCATGTGCCTACCAGATGCTCCTTCTTGTGTGTGAGTTATGGTGTTTTAACTATTGAACAAATATTGCAACCATCTCCTGGTCTTTAGCCAGAAGTTCCCCAGCCAGAAGTTGGTGAAGATTGGTTTCCTACTTCAGTTGTCTAAGGTCCAGGGTTAATTTCCTATTCCCTAATCCTATCGGGAACATTTATTTGGTCTTCCTCCCTTCCACTGCTTTCTCCTCCACCCTATAATCAGCTGATTTGCTAAAGCTCAGGAAAAATCACACTATCAGTGAGAACTATATTCACCCAGGAAGATACTTCAGGCTTTTGGAGAAAGGCAGAAAGAAAGAAAGAAAGAAAGAAAGAAAGAAAGAAAGAAAGAAAGAAAGAAAGAAAGAAAGAAAGAAGGAAGGAAGGAAGGAAGGAAGGAAGGAAGGAAGGAAGGAAGGAAGGAAGGAAGGAAGGAAGGAAGGAAGGAAAGAAAGAAGGAAAGAAAGAAGGCAGTTAAAAAACTTGGACTGGCTATCATGACAATTGTTGAACATGATAGAAGGAAGGAGAAATCTGAAGTTGTGAGGAAAAGGCATTTGCTGACAGGATGGGGAGGAATGGCTGCTGCACACCTGACTGCCCTAATTAACCACCAGCTTGATGAATAAGAGCCTAGCTAAAAATATGCACAAAGAGGGAGAAGAAGAAAAGCAAGACGAGTTGCTCTTTGAGAAAGCTCAAGGGGAAGGAATGGGGAGGGGGAAGAATGGGAGCAGGGAGAACCCAATAGGTGGATGTCTGTAAGAAACCTACTGAAACCACCCACTCCCATATTCTCTTTTGGTCTTACCAATTCCCTTCAGGGAACCCTCCCTTGTTCATGACATTTCCCATTTTTCACCTCTGCCCACACAAATCCTTTTATATCATTCCATTCCTCAGATACTGTGTACATTTTTAAGTAACCAAAACATTTTACAACCTCCCTGCACTTATATTTTGGAATCAGGACAATTTTGAGGCCAGAGCACAGAAGAGATATGTGAGTGCCTTTCAACTATTTTTTTTTTTGCAAGCAAAAAGCAAGGGGATGGGTTCGAGAAGCTTTCTGAATCTTGAAGACACTATTACCTACAGAGCTGGTAGTGAGCAGGCCAAGAGTGAAGCTCATGAGCTGTGAAAGCTCACCTTAATTAGGAATGTTTTAAAGAAAAAACTAATCTTGCACATCGTACAAATGATTGTTACTGCTATTACTATGTGCCTAGCAACAATGATAAAGTTGCAGTTATACCAAATTTCTACAGAGTTTGTGTTTCACAGTGAAAGTACATTATAAGTCTTGTCCAGCAGGTTATATTGCTCTCCTGATCTTGTCCATAACTCAATATATATGAATACACAGTGCTTATATATGTAAGAATGATTCAGAATCCTTTCTACTACATTTCTTAGCCTGAAGATATCCCCAGTGCTTTTTCAGATGTAAAATAGTAATGTTTCCCATGGGCACTAACCATAGACAACTTCCGGAGTGCAAACCAAACTTTGTGTTTAACCAACGGGAAATCTCTTCTGTAGATATGCAGAAGATATTCTGCCTTTCTTTATCTAGTTTACATACCACTTGTAATCTGCCAATCAGAACTGTGCTTTCATTGATTAAATACTTTAGCTGGTCAGAATAGTACCTGAACATTTGCCCCATATTTTTGAATTCTGTAAGAATTAGAAGCAAAATAGAAAAAAATATTGTAAACTGGGTGCCAGGAAAAATTAGCCTTTTTAAATTGGAGGCTTGGTTTAGTAGTCACTTTATCCTAGTAATGAATCTGAAAGTGGTGTAAAATATAATTTCAACCTAGCAGTAGTTGTGCTAAAAAAGTAATATCCCCTTGTGGTTGGTGGGGATTGTGAACTTAATCACAGCTTTTTTAAATAAGTAGAGAAAGCTTCACCTCTTTCTGCTTATCATTTTAAAAGCTAGCAGGCATCAAAATCTTCTTCATGCCCCAATCAGCTGCTGCTTCAATGGCATTTTATTTCTTTTATTATAATTAAAAAATAATTGTGTCTTCTTCCTGAGCTTTGTAACATTGAACTGTAACTAAAAATGTTTTCAGTGGGAGCAAATGAAGCAAATAAGGGCAATGCTCCCTTCCTCATTTTGTCTTCACTCTAACGGGACCACCACTATCTGAACGGTGCTCAGGAGGGATATCAACCAACGAAGCACAGCTGTGCTACTGTGTTCTTTTGTGAGCCTAGCTGGGCTCTCTCCACTGAAAGAGCAAAATCGTCTTTCATAGTGTGGAAATGTTTACAAAAAAACTTCCCCCTTCCTTTTGAGGCAACTATTATTATTGATTCATGAATATACAATAGCTGAGCAATGCAGCTGCATTGATTGACTGAATTGATGAAGTGCACCAAGCTAAAATGCTGCATTGAAGTATTGAAGAGCTTGATTAACCAAATGAGACTGCTGAATTTTGTAACTAATTCAATTACAATGAATTTAATCACTTGAGCAATTTGCATTATTGGTCAACGTTTATCTTTTAACTCAAAAGCCTGGGATGCATCATTCAAGGGAACATCACTTCTCACATAATCAAGTACAGGAAGTCCTCAGCCTATAACCATAACTGTGACTAGACTTTCTGTTGCTAATTAAGAGAGTTGTTAAATGAGTTACATCTGATTTTTATGACCTTTCTTGCCATGGCTGTTAAGCAAATCACCACAGTTGTTAAATGAATCATGCAGTCGTTAAACAAATCTGGCTTTTCCTCATTGACTTTGCTTGTTAGAAGCTGGCTGGGAAGATCACCATCACATAACCCCAGGAGACTGCAACCATCATAAATATATGGAGGCCTGAATTTGGATCACATAATCATGGGGATGTTGTGACAGTTATAAAATACAAGGAATGGTTGTAAGACACTGTTTTCAGTGCCACTGTAACTTCGCTTGGTGGCCAAGTGAATGGTTGTAAGTCAAGGACTACCTGTCACAGCTCCACTTACCGAACTGGCTTCCATGATGTCCCGCCAGAGGGGAGCGTCATTGTCCCGCTCAGCAATTTCCAGCAGGTTGTCCAGGACGACTTGGCCAATGAGATCATGACGGGAGAAGCGGTCAAAATCATAGACACTGAAATGAAGTTTACGTGAGGGCAGTTCAGCAAAGGGGACGTTGAAGTTAAAGGTCTCATTGAAAATAGGATTGAGTGTTTTGCGATGCACCTTTGTTTGGTATTTCTTTTTACGGTCAGGCAGAAGGTACATTTTCACATAGGGGTCAGAGAATCCATTCGCATCTTTGGCAGGTAGGTCTAAAGCTCGGAGTATCCTGACCACCAGCTGCTCCGTGCCGTAGGCATAGCGGAGGGCAAAGCTCAATTGTCCACAGCTTGGAGCCTCCCCTTTCTTGGAGTCTGCCTCACCTGAGCGCTGTTTATACAGTTCAGGTTTTATCTGCCCAATGCTGGTCACTTGTTCCACCTTGTCTTCTCCTCCTCCTCCTCCTCCTCCACCATGGACTCCAGTGTCTGGGCTGCTCAATTGCTGGGTCACAGGACGTGGCAGTGTGCTGTACCTGGAGGGAACAGTAAAAAAAAAAATACAGCCAGAGAGACACATAACCACATGTCCATTACATTCACCCCACAAATAAATAACCCTCTGTCCAGGGTAGAGTTACAACTGTCAACATCCTGGCTTTAAATTTTCAGAAGGGTAACAAATACTTCTTGGTCTACAGATTAACTTAAATTGATTTAAAATTCAAATCAGTAAATTCATTAAAATCACTGAGATTTACATTATACACAATGCCATGGCATTCAGGGGGTATGTTCTTAATGTAGCTAAATCTGGATCTATTGTCTTCTTAGTATATAAAAAGATGCATCAGATTTACAGATTTTTGCAAATGAAATCTTGAAAAAAGCATACAAAAGCATGATGGCACCTGCTGTAACATGTATATTATCTGCCTTTCAAAAAGCAGGTGCACTTTTATTCTTTAAAACCAAAATTGGATATATACTTGATTTAATAATTTGATTAAATGTGCATATAACTGTTTCAGTATGAGATCTTTAATTAGTACTAATTTTTCACTTCTTATAATATGGACAAGAAACAAGAGATAAATGGAGAAAGCTTGGGAATTGTGATATGCAGATTCAATTGAGAAGAACTGATTATCAGTTCTTCTTCCTTTGTTTATGAACCAGCAATAGGGTTATATTATAGTTATGTGCCTCCTTATGCTACTGTGCTTTCTCTTTTTCCAAAGTCCCATTAAAAACCTCCAACACTAAGCATCTAGGAAGCTGAATGCAGTGAACAAGTGAACAGGCTACTTACCCATATAGCATATCTATGATTATATTCTGAAGCCAAATTTTACTTTTTAAAGAACTGCATCTGTTAAAATCAACCCACAACTTTTCAAGCAGCACTGTGTTCCAGAATACTATATAATACAGTGTTTTGCAACCTTGGCAACTTTACAATGTCTGGAGTTCAACTCTCAGAAATCTCCAGCCAGTTGGTTGGGGAATTCTGGCAGTTGAAGTCCAGGCATATTGAACATTGCACAGGTTGAGAAACACTGGTATAATGAACCAATTATTTATGTGTGGGTCTCATGATGTCAGTATTGCAATCACGAGACCCAGACTATCATCTGGCAATATGCATTATTTTCATTGTTCTTTATATTTTCATTTTATAGATTGGGAATCTGGGCTAAAAGATATTGACTGAAAAGCTCTTACCTTACTGATCACGCAGTTTGTGCCCTCATGCTTACAATTTAAGAAGATGTTACATAAAAGAAAAAAAATGGGGCAGGAAAAGAAAAACAAGAATACTCAGGCACCAATTATTAATGTTAGACATATAGCATTGAGTGTATGTCCTCTGTATAAACATCAACTGTACAGATTCAGCTTGGGCTCTCGCTCTGCAACCTTCCCTCCTCACAACTCACCTGGGAGTGGGTGCCAAGCTTGCTACTTGCTGGTGGGAGTGGGCATTGGGAATGCTGCCTTCCTTGGTACCCGTCTGACTTTCCACAGGGAGGTCAGGGGAGGTTTGGCTAATTTTGAGGTTGGCCTCGGGATAGGAATCCATATCGAGGTACGATCTCTCAGGCATTTCGGGACCCAATTCTACCCGCTCAGCCAGGAGATCCCCAAAAGGCGAGTGGTGGAGATGGGCATGGAGAAGATGCTCCTTGCGTTGGGTTTGTGATGAGGATCCTTTATCCCGCCAGGGGATCCAACATAGTTTCCAAGAGACGAAAAGGGAGACGCCCAGCAGCACAATCCCGCAGAAAGTCACAATCACAGACAGAAGGCTAACCAGGATCTCTAGAGGAGAAAAGTGGAGAGGCAGATACCATAATGAAAGATCAGGGATAAGTTGCCTTCTATGGCCATCTGTCATCTTGGTTAGTTGAGCTATCCTCATTCTACTGGCTATTGGAGAGAACCTAGAACCCTGGACTAGCAGCACCAACTGCCAGTGGGCAGAATACGTGACAGCTCAACTCTTTCTTGAGTAGTACCATCAAACTGTCCCTGAGTCCCAATTCTGCCCTATCCCCCCATTAGAAGTAGATCAACCTGACTGAGTCATGATCTGCCAAGCACTGGAAGTGGCATCCATATAAAAAGTTATGCACCCTTTATTTTTTGGTTCCCTTTCCAGAGATTTTTAATTGGACACTAATTATAAAGCCAGTCTTAATTAAGTGTGAAACTGTAAAAAATACTTTACTGAAGGGAAATAAGTCCTCCTCCCCATAAATTCTACAGTTCATTGGGATCAGTACTAAATATAAGCATAACTGTATTATAGTTTCATACCAAAATATACTTTACATTCAATAAATGCACCACATTCATCCCTTCTATCTTACTATTATATATATATATTAACTGTTTATACTCAAGTTTCCTAGTGTTGTTGGTACCTAAGAAAAAATCTCTTATGGTTAAATAAATTTTCACAGATACAACCAAGAATAGAAAAAACATTTCCCATTAAATCCTAATTTAAAGACTATTTAAAGCTCAGTGGCACAGACACATATATAGAATTCTCAATAAATACCATAACAATTGCAATAAATACATATGTAATCAAATTATATAATGGTTCTTCCACTTGAATATATTTTCCACTGTACAACATGAGTGAATACATTTAAACTGCTTTATTCAAAGCATTTCCCAAGAAGACTCCAGAGAGCATTCAGGATTTTTATTGTAGCAAATGTGATAAGAATTAGAATGCAAAAGTAGTTCAAATTTTCAAATGATCCCACAAGATTCATCAGAATATCTTTCTGTCACATAGAACTATAAACCAACATACAGGCATATTTTAGTTATTTACTTGTTCTTATAAAATATTAATTTAATACTGAGACCTCTGTGCTACTTCAATCCAGCAACATGTCAACAAGACCCATGAACTAGACCTAGGCCATAAATTTTCATCATTCTATTCCGATTTCCTCTATAGATATGTCGATATTATACATCAAGATTCTCACCTGTGTTGATGGGACCCACATGTCCTGTCAGTTCCTGGCACTTCTCACGCTCCTGGGCAGCACATGTGTTGGAACACAGCACATGAAGGAGCTCCATTGCCTTGCGATGCCTATCCTCATCATAATCTCCTGACATGATGCCTAAACAGCAAGTATTTTGTTGCATGTTAAAAATGTCATTACATATGACCTTGGGCCATGGTGAAATCTGCAATGCAGGTTTCCTAGCAATAAGGCCCCTGCTGATTCTTATTGCTACCTGAACTTTGGGGTGTCCTTGCCAAAGAACTGAGACTCAGTCCCTACTATCTTCGTTGGCCAGGTGAGTCACTAAGAGTCAGAGGAGGCTATGTTGAATTACATAATCAAACATGCTGACCTTGTTTAAAAAAAAAGTCTTCACAAAAGTGTATCTTTTACTTGAGGGGACTCAAAAATGTCTGGGTGCCACTTAGATTCTGCTATCTTCTGCATTTATTTTAATCACTGAGGCTGAAGCTGAAACAGACTCACCCCTCCAGAATAAAAAACAAAATGTCCTCCGTATCCCTGTCTATTCTGGGAAAAACTGGAGCTTCAGTGGTTGAAGCAGGCACAAAAATAATATTGGGGGATTACTGGAGGAACAAGACAAGAAGCAAAATATATCCTGTATCCGAACTCTTGAGATACAATTGAGGACCTGACTACCTTAACAGAAAAGCCATTTTCATATTTACTTTACATCAGTTGAAACCTGATTCATATTGCCAAAGACTAAAGCGGATAGCATGTACAAAATGCATGGAAATTACAAAGCAGGCATGGGATATCTTTATGTAGCTTTGGGTAAACAAGGATTGAGCACCAACCTATATCTTATCTATCAAAGCAGGATCTCAACTGACCAGCACCAAATGCAAGGGAGAAATACAGTGGCACTGGCTCAAGGCCCAACCCTATTGCATTATGTCTCCCCCAAAAATAATTACCTGGGAATTATCTTAGGTTGGCTGATCAGAGGCAGACCAAAGTTTGAGTGTGGATCCGGATTTACTTGGCTAAAAAGGGACTCTCAGTGTGCTTAGGTCTGTGATGGTCTTTCAGCCTAACATTCCAGATGCTGTTCTTGAATGGTGGAACAGGCAGGCAAAAGTGGAGAGAAAGCACATAAATGGTGGAGCTTTGGGGACAAAATGTGAGACAGAAGCATGAGGAAGAGGGCTGCCAAGTGCATTGGTGCTGGCTTACTATAACTGGAAGTAAAATGTGGTAAATCACTGGTGAAATGATATCCAACTAATATCATTGGAGGCAATGAATATATCCTGATGCATTCCAAGGAAGGAAGGACTTTGGATAGACTTAAAACCACAAGACGTCAGCCTTGGCTGATGACCAGTCACAAGGATCACATCATAAAATAAGCCTGGAGAATGTCAATATCAGGACATTTTTTCAAACTTACTAGTAAGCAATATACATTTATAAAATGCAAATAATTCCAATAGGAAGGAAAGTTACCAGAGGTATTCAGTTTGCTGAGGACACTCTCTCCTTTAACATTACCCATATATAAAGATGTAACATCTGTTGCTAAACTCAGTTTTAGATACACTCCAAAGGGGCTAGCAGCATGGCTAGCAAAGCAACAACTCAAATTCATTGTCTCGCACAAAGAAGGAAGACATTTCACTAAGAAATAGCAGCCGTGAATACCAGAAATATAAATTATCTAAATACACCACTGATTCTCAGGCTGAGTTCACTGCAGGACTTCCAGCCCATCTTACCTCAGTTACGCCAGTCGCCTATTTTAGCCATTGAATTGTTTAAATAAATGCCCTCCCAAAGGAGAGCGGGCAAGAAATTGAGCATGCAAACAGTGCCCCAATCTTCAATGTCAATGTACCTGTTGGCCTTGGCTGCCATACGTTTGGTGCATGAGTGATTCATGGCCAGTTTGTGCACCAGCTAATGAACACCTGGCCAACAAGCGTATAGGGAAGATGATAAATGGGGATCTTCCCATTCTTCCTACTTATACAACCCTATGTAAAAGAGCGGCAGGATTCATATATGCCATAATGCGATTTGTTTGATTTTGTCTATTAGGCATACCAATCTATCGTGATCTATCAAACATGGTTTATATAATACATTATGAGAAGCCATCTAATTAGCATGCTCTATGCATAGCTTACTGTAATACAGGAACTATGTTTGGAAAGGAGGATTTATTAACCCATGGCAGCTAATATCTTGCAGTAGCATTTCAAAAGACTACCAGCATTACTGTGGTGAAGAGGGCTCCAGACTCCACCAACCTTTATGCCATAAAAATTCATTAGTCGGGCTATCTAAGGCAGTCTGTGTTTACCAGAGGCCTACCTGTTCTAGTTTTCAGTAGTTAAGAAGCTGGATCGGGGTAGGGTGAGCCAAGTATAAGTGCAGCTTTGGCCAACAAAACTTAATGGGTGACTTCAGGCCAAGCCCCTCTCAATCTTGCTTATCCCACAGCAAGTCTGTTTTGAGGGGTTTGAGGAAACATGGAAACAAACAAATAGATAACCCTAATTCCTAGCTGGAATATTATGAGAGCTGAATTCCAATATACCTGGAAGTCATAAGCATTGAAAACATTTCAGTGTTTCTCAACCTTGGCAACTTTACGATATGTGGACTTCAACTCCCAGAATTCTCCAGCTAGCGTTGCAACGCTAGCTGGAGAATTCTGGGAGTTGAAGTCCACATATCATAAAGTTGCCAAGGTTGAGAAACAAAAATTCTACAAGACTTGTATGTGTCTGGAGAGAGGTTAAGTATTTTCTGAAGGAGCTTGCGGCAACTGGTCATTTAGGCTTCAAGGTACTTGTCAGCCAAACAAGGAGCTAGGCTAAAATCTAACTGGCAAGGTTTTTAAAATGCAGGATCCTGAGCCTTTTGAAAGAGAAGGTGTGGTGATTGATAGGGAAACATAGACACGCTGACCTCTCTTTCTCCCCCCATTACTCATACTATCTCTCCTTGATTGGGCCCAGAGGACAGCCGTGCTGGCAGCTGTCCTACATACACTAACTCAAATGCAGAGAGGGGAATTGTTCAAAATTGCTATAAAAGATAAAGGTTATAGGTTTGGGAGCTGCTCCATACATTCCAATTCTTATTGTTCAATCCTGACAGTTCTAATTTTAGGAATAAAGCCTTTTTTTCAGCATTTTATTCCACAATGCATCTATTTTTATTCTTTTGTTTCTTTTTCTTTTTTAATAATAAGAATAATTATGCAGACTGGAAACAATAAAACAGCAACCACAAATGACCCATGGATAAAAAGTATATAAAAGACAACAAAGGGATGTTGGTACAACAACACTAATAATAATGTCATTAATATTATTAATAATAATATTCAACCTCCAACCTATCCCTGAAAACTATGTAAATTTCTTTTGAGAGAAAAGAAATAATTAGAAAGGGTGGAGGGAAATCTTAAACAAATAAGGGGAGATTTTCAAAATGCATCTCCAGAATTAGCACTACTGATTACTGTATGGATACTGATAAGCCAAATATCCCCCACTCCAAATCTTCTCTTGATTTCCAGAACTATAATAAAGAACCTTGACCAGACTTCTTTACAATTAGTAATGAGGATCAATGTCAACTATTTTGTGAATCCTTTGAAATTCTCTGCCCCCTGTTCAAAATCTCACCTGGTCAGCAAACTGGATCAGTTGATGGCTGTCAAGTTGCTTCTGTATTGCTGGATCCAGGATGCCAACTGACCCAGTCAATGCCAGGCAACGGAAGAGCAGGAAAGCAACCCAAAATTTCTGGTGAATTGAGTCCATATGTGAGAGGCTACAAGCTGGAAGTAGGACACTGGATCTGCCATCCAGGGCACTGCTGAGTCCACAAGTTGCAATTTGTTGTGGTGGTGGAGGACAACCTCACCCTCCGCCAGATGCTGGATGGAACCAGTTGCTGAGATCAAATGTGATTGTGAGAAGGTTTCAATGTGTATGGCCGGCTTTACAGTGTCTAAACGAGATAACAGATCTCCAACTCAGTTCTGGGGAGTTCTTCATTATTTTCTAAATCCTCCATGAAATGGGTTGCCTGCAAATTAAATCCCTGCTATTGCCAGTCTCTTCAATTAGGTAGCCAACTGCATGAATTTGAAAAAAAAAAAAGGTATCAGATATGGACTCCTGTTCTGCTTCTGCTATTTCTCATCTCCTGATTCAGCCAGTCTGTAATTCTAACAGAGGGGACAAGTATATAAATCTAACTTCTGGGTCATGCTGCACTTAAATATGTATATATTATGCCCTCAGAGTGTCACAAAATACTATTAAAGGGAAGAATATTTTCTCCTTACTCATTTTTGGGTTTGCTCTGCAATTCACAGAAGCATTGCTGGGGATTCTGAATTATTCATCTTTGCCAAAAGAACACAAATATGGTTTTTATGGGGGGGGAGGGTCAATAATGTCACTTAAAGTTTCTATATTAGGCTAAGCAAAATAAGCATAGTAATTTTTATGTAGCAATGGTTATAATCCACTCCCATCCATACAGATTTTAAGCAGTGATTATTAGTCAAAATACAATCCCTCCTCAATTAAAATAATTAATACTCAACTAATTATGGTGGTCATCCCCCCCCCCAAAAAGCCTAAGAACCAGAAACCTGTTAAAATAGTGTGAATTTAACTTGCTTCTTAAAAGTATTGAGGGTGCCAGAGGAGAAAGCTTCTATAAAATGGGGCCACCCCCAAGAAACATATGTCATATTCAGATTCAGGATTTTTTAAGTGGTAAGCTTGGCAGGGATGGCTAATTATATTTTACATCGGGCCTATTCTAGGTTTATGTTATGTTTCCTGTACATTTTCTACAATTTTATTAGGTAGTGTTAGAGAAATTCTTGGGGCAACCACCCAAAAGTTATTCAGGAGCCATATGACCTCTTGAGATCAGAGCTTACAGTTTCTACTACTCGTCTTACAAAGGAGCAAGGTGAACAGTAAAATCCAAAAAAAAAAACAAAACAACACCCCTTGGTTAAAATATAAAGGTCTGGAAAACAGCTTGAGACTGTTTGGGGTTGTAATTCAGATTCTTCTGGAAACCCACAAGCTTCCTACAGGAACTTATGGCTAGGATTGTTGGATTCTCTACAACAAATACATATTTTAATAGATTAGGCTATAGAAAGAAAAACACTGATTATTCTGGGTAGGAACAGGATAATCTGAGGAGAGATGAAACTCTGTACCTACTTCTTTTTCCAGCATCTGGGGCAATCACTTGAACTTTTCTCTAAATAGAAAAGCTACCTGCTTGTACAGGTATTTCAGACCGGAGAAGGAAAGCACTTGGAATTTAATTCTAATTAATTAATTAATTAAATTTGCATGATGCATGAGACTGAATGAATGGAGAATATGATGATGGATATCATGCTGTTTCTTCCTTTTTCTCCTTCCCCAAGTTTATTCTAGAAAGGCAGGAGCCAGCCCAAGACTAGCTAATAATAGGATTCTCCTGTTCCCCAACAGAATAGCAAGTCATCCAAAGGGGAAGGGAGAAGAGGACCTTTAGTTCCTCAGTTCTCCCCTCCCCTGAATTCTGCTGCATCTGTTATTGCTGCATCTTTGCTGGAGTTACAAACGTTCCTGCTCAGAATAACAAGTATTAAGGGCTGAGTAGTGTAACTGGTCCTTCTCTCCCTCTCCCTTTTCCTCTCTCTCTCTCTCTCTCTCTCTCTCTCTCTCTCTCTCTCTCTCTCTCACACACACACACACACACACACACACTCACGTATCTTTCATGCCTGACTGTCATTGTTCTATACCATCTATCCAAAGTGAAATCATGCCCTAAACTCTGTTCATTTTTACATCATTATCACCTTAAAAAATAAATATTCAAGTATTATATTATCACATTCTGATATGGAGATAATCCACAGTGCCTAAATGCCATTTCATTTATTAACCATAGATTAAAAGAAACAAATTATGATGCCCCTGATCTAGTGAAGCCCTATTTCATCCTCATTTTAAAAATAATCTTGATGTATGCTGTCCACAGTAATCAGTTTCTTGATGTTACCATGCTGCTGTCTTCTCTGATAGAGAGTTTGTCTGAGTTATAGCCAATAATGATTAGCCATCACAGCTAAATGAAAACAGCCCCCAACTCCAAAAGTAGTATTTAATAATCGTGAGAAATATCTGGTAGAAGATCTGGTACTTCCCTTGGGAAATGAAATCTTTTCTCTGGCCAGCAAGTTATCATGGGACCTGACCTCATATAGCAGCTAATTAATTTGCACAGCAGCTAACCTTTACACAATTATTTTTATTACGACAGCTGCCTTTCTCCCCGTTCTGACTAGTAATACAACATTATCACTATCTAAACCAGCGGTTCTCAACCTATGGGTCGCGACCCCATTTGGGGTTGATCGACCATTTTTCGGGGGTCGCCAAAGGTGGCGATCCGCCATTTTTCGCGGCGCCGTGCACGCGCGCCGCACACGGGGGCGGCGCCGTGCACGCGTGTCGCGCCTGGGGGCGGCACCGTGCACGCGCGCCGTGCATGGGGGGGCCGTCGCACATGCGCGTCGCACATGGGGGGCTCACCCCCATGCGCGCGGCGCCGCGCATGCGCAGAACGTTTGTGTGACGGGGGTCGCCGTCACACAAACGTTGAGAAGCACTGATCTAAACTTATTACCAGCTCTTTATGACACCCCGAGTACTGTATTTATTGTTCTTTTTTTGCAGATTCAGCACACTGGAAATAAGTTCAAGTTTACAACTTTTTTTTAAATAATATTTTTATTAATTTTCTCATTTTAAACTTAGGTATTTAAAAAGCAGTGTGGTGGCTGGGTTAATCAATAGTTCAGTAACATACAAAAATTTTTAGTACAAATTTCAAACTACAACTTCAAATATTCCTCTTTTTCCCTTAATATCTACTATCTCATATTTAAGCTAATACAGTTCTTATTCTATCAACGAAATAAAAACATCATTATTACATTTATCAATAAATTTTAGCTTATACATATCTTAATTACTTTTACATTCAATCTTTGCATCAATCAATGTCCTGTTATTAGTTTTTCTCAATTTTTAGTTTCCCATCAATATTCAAATGTAACATTTGATATTTATAATTTCCAGGTTTTAGGTAACCAAAGTTTTCTTTATCTCAATTCATAACAGAATCTAATATTCAAAATACACATCTATTTGGGTACAATCTTGTTCTATTTCCTAAAAGTTATCTATTTCCCCCCATCTTACATCATCTAATTAATAATACAGTATCCCCTTTAATAAATCAAATAAATCAGATATATATTGTCTGAGTTAATCAATAAATCAAACATATTCATTATATACATATATATTTCTTTGAGTCTAATTTTTAAGTATTAAACAAATAGCATCCTTATTTTCAACTAATTTCCAAATGTTTTAAATTCAATGACCAAAATTTCCCTTATCTCAATTTCTCCATTTGACCCTCAAATTAGTAATATAAAAATATAAATCAAAACCCCAATTTTCTTCAGCCTTATTCTGGCTTTCTTTCTTTGCCAGCTAGCCTTCCACGTCAGCGGTTTTAAATCATCAAATAGATCTCCCTCTATTATTATATATATTGTTTGGAATAAGGGAGACCATTTAGTTGCCATTTTTTGGAAGGGCTAACCCATTTGTAATTCTTAAATTGTCTCTCTTTTATTCTAAATCCCCATAATTGTCCTGATATGTTTATCTTCCATTCAGTCTGTTCTTCTTCTTGCTCCTCAAATTTCTTCTGATTTATATAGAAAGTCTTTTCCATTTTCAGTGTTGTCAGTCCCTTTTCTGGATATTCCATTTGTTGGTCAATTGAGTCTTCTGTTTTAGTATTTGATTGTTCCACTTCTTCTGTTACCTTCTGCGTTGTTAATTCTTTAGTTGTAGTCAGAATTTGGGTTTGTATATCTTAGCTGACATCTTGTTCTTTTCTGTAACATCTTATTTCGTCACAAGCTGCAAGGATGATTTCATGTGTTGCTTTTAACATGGAAAGAATCTTTTCCTGGTCTTCATCCATCTTCTCTTAATGGTAAGTTGAGAACTTTGAAATCAGACGATAAAAATAATTTTAAAGCTGCGTATGGGACCTCTATTTCATGTGTTTTTAGGTAGTCTTTATAGTAAGAGTCGTTTATCAAGTAAGATTTTATAATCCAAGGTATTGCATCATCTCAAATAATGACCAATATTCCTCAGATAAAAAAGTAGGAAGGCAATTCCCCACATACAGCTCTAAAAATCAATAAAGGTTTATGTTGTGTCCTGAGCCTGCAGAGGCAGGCTCGGGACGTTGCAATGGTCCCGGGCAGCTACAAGCTGCCCGGGACCAGACTGGCTGGCGCCAGCGCTCGTGCGCCTAAATGTTGCTTTTTGGCCCAGGATTTGTCTTTAAGAGAGGCTGAGAGGCTTGTGCTGCTCAGAGTTGTAACAGGGGCTATTGAAGACCAATAAAGAGTTCCTGAAACCACAGAATGTCTCGAGCCGTCATTGCCATTAACCGAGGACTCAACACTGGCGATGAAGGTGGGATTGCCTTACAATTACACAAAGAATTGTAAGCTTACCCTGGAGTCCTGAGACAGCGAGGAAACGGCGTTAAATTCAACAACTGCCTGCCAATACAGCTTCGTTGGAGATAAGCTGGCTGATAGACCCTTCCTGTTTTACTGAAGATGGCAAAGATAGGGAAACTTTCTGAGTTTGATGTTACACATCCAGATAGATGGGAGTCTTATGTGGCCTGAGCAGAAAATTATTTCAGAGTTAATCAAGTAAGAGAAGATGGCTTAAAGGCCGCCACCCTACTGTGTGTTTGTGGTCAAGATGCATTTGAAATCGCTGAAAATTTAGTAGTCCCTGCACCTCTTGAATCTGTTACCTACACAGATTTAAAGAAATTATTAAAAGAGCATTTTCAACCCAAGTTATCTGTTATTCCTTGGAGACATACTTTTGAACAGAGGGATCAATGGGCTGGTGAATCAGCTAAAGAATACATTGCTGCATTAAGAAGAGCAGCTAAGCATTGTGAGTTTAAAGACTTAGAGGAAAGGCTGAG